GCAGTGGCACCACTGAGCTAAATCCCCAGCCCCACAGGCTCATTTTTAAAAATCAAATTTCTTAATGTGGCCACCAAAACCATCATAATACAAAATGGACCTTGCTAAAGGACCATGGTTTCGTAATCTGCCCACTTTCAGAGACATTTCTCCTCTTGGGAGGCTGCTGAGGATCAAAAATTCCTTGTGTTTTTCAGTTATTTTGTTATAAAAATACATATTTAATTTGTAATTTAAAAAAAAATCCATAAAGAAAATTACCAAGAATTTCCTTAGGTGAGAAGGGATTAAACAGAGTAATTTCTTCACCATTCACTTGTTCTGTGAACAACTTTCATCACAGTCTGTGGGGCGAGGGACTACGCTCAGATGATCCCAAGACCCAAATCCCTAAGAAACACAGAAAGTAGCGAACTCACTAAGGGAAAAAGAGCAGCAGCAGTCAGTGCGCCTTCTAAACCAGGCACACACGTCCAACAACCACGAGACACACAGCCCAGGCCTCGGTACCAGGAGACGGCCTGAAGCACTGCTCACCCAGGACCCGGGACCTCACAGGCACTGAGGAAGCAAATCCCAGGGACTCCGGAGTCTCAGATGAGCGAAACGGGAGCGGACATCAGGAGCCAAAGACTCGGCTAAGTCATGGACCCCAACCCACGGGGCAGAACCTCTCAACCACATCAGTCTGAGTCAGTCTGTGGTTCCCCCAGATAAACCGCTCCCTGGTCCCGACCCTGCACCCATGCTTCCCCTCTCGGCTGCAACGTCATTCCCGCTCAGTCCGCCCACAAACGCTCACCCAGGCGGCACAACACGCCCACCGCGGAGCAGGGTGTTTTCTGGTCTTTCCATCCTTGACGCTGTGAGTCCATTTTTTTTCTTTAAAATTTCTTTTTAAATTTTGAGACAGGGTCTTGCAAAGTTACCCAGGTGGGACTCAAACTTGTAAACCTCCTGCCTCAGCCTCCCAATATGCTGGGATTACAGGTGCGCAGCCACCATGTCCTATGCCCTCGGCAATTGTAACAATGCTCCCTAAAATGTTGTGTGACAAAGCCCCGAGTCCTGAGACTCAGTTTCTGTCTCCTCGTGCAACACACTTCAGCCACTTACACTCTCCCCTGTAAAGCTGCTTTTCCTAGGTGGAATCTGCATTGTTGTATCAACAAGACTGGTTTAAAAAACAACTCTTTTTCCCTGGTACTGGGGATCAAACTCAGGACCTTGTGCTTGCTAGGCAGGCGAGGGAGGCACCACTGAGCTACATCCCTGGCTAAAACACAAATTTCTTGACAAGAGTTTATGTGCAAAATTAAACAAATCCTTAGTCTAAGGCTGCGAGGCTAACCGCTCAGAGCCGAGTGCTACACTTCACTCGCTCCTGTGCTGCCTGCTGTCACCCAATGGAAAACAGCACGGAGCCCCAATGAAATACACTGCTAGACGCAGCGACCTTCCTGTTCCTCCAGGAAAAACAGTAAAACTAAGAGAGGACTGTGGTCACCTCGTCGTGCCTTTCCCTGCTCTGAAGGAGACACTAACTTACTCCCACTGTCTGAAAGGCTGAGGGAGCCTCTGGCCTCACACCAGGACTGCAGGCTGACCCTGGTTAAACAAACTTTCTTGGTAGCCGCTGAGTATGCTTCCCCAAACAAGCTTTTACCTCCTGCAGCGGCCCGTCGGGGACCGCAGTGTGCACCATGTCGTGCCTCAGTTTGCTCAGGTGAAGCAGCTTCTCCCTGTAGTCACTCACAGTGGTGGGCACCAGCTCCGCCTGGCGCAGGACAGCAAAGGCGGATGGCCGCCCCGAGAGCGCATCCTCCTGCGGGCAAAGCGTGCGGTGGCTCAGCTTGTGTTCGCCAGAAAGAACATTAAACGCGACTGAACTGAAGGTCCAAAGCAGACTGAACTAAAGACGTTAATGTTTTGAATGAAGTAAGGGATGCTTTTTGGTAAACCATTCAGGTTTAGTATGTGGCACAGAGAGGGAAAGTCGACAGGAAAATGATTCTCAAAGTGACTCAAACTGACTGGCAGCATCTTCTGATGCAGAGAAGTGCACATACACTTTCCCCACACGGCTGAATGGTGGGACTACTTCCCTACACGAAGATACCTGTGCAAGGGGCTTCAGTATGAAACCCCACGCAGCCAGCCATGCGCAGGGGCCTGGGTAAGTACTTTAAACCCTGGAACACCATTCAAACATAAAAGACAGGAGGTGAAGCCAGTGACCGGCATGGAAAACTCCTGTGAAACCTCAGTTTAAATCATGTACGTGTTCGGAAAAGTTTAGAAAGCAAATGCACCAAGTATCCGAGGATTTCGGTAACCTTGGTAGGTGGGAATAAGAATTCAAAAACTATCAAAGTTTATGATAGGTAGTTACACAGTGTATTATACAGTGTATAGTTTATGTAGGTATCTATTTCTTTTTTTTTTTTTTGGTACCGGGGATGGAACTTGGCTCCTTGCGCTTCCGCAGCAGGTGACGAAACCACTGAGCTAAATCCCCAGCCCTATGTAGGTATTTATATAGTGTGCTAATGTTCTGCAAAGATATTATTTCAGCAACTAAAAGAAAAATGTAAGACTGTAGTTTTAAAAAACTATCCGCTTAAACAGTTCAAATACCTCCATCAGTTCTGGAAGCTGGATATCAAAATGGTTCAGGATTCTTATTGTCAAAAGCCGAATCTAAAGAAAGTAAAAGGCATATTTCAAATTGCAAAGTTTAAGTGGAGGAAGAAGCTGATTACAGTGAGGGAGCCGAGGTTTGCAGAATTATCAGACACCACATGACTGATCAGAGGAGCACATGCCATTCCAGGCCTCACTCCCATCCAACGCCACCCAGCGCTTCACCACAGTGTGGGTTAATGAACCCGGGACTGGGCAGCCAGGCCGACCCACACACCCGTGTGGTTTAACTACGACACCAGAAGCACCTCTGTGAATAAGTGGAACAAGCTGGGTAAGCTTCCAGTCGATGGGAACCAGGGGTTTTGCGTTCAGCTATTTCCATATACTCGAGTCAGCATCAGAATCATCTACAGGGCTTTGAAAAACTGTAAAATTCTCAGTGCACACCCCTAACTGCAGTGAACCCAAATCTTGGGGGTGGGATCTCGAATCTTATTTGATTAACCCCCCTCACGGATTGCGCTGCAGGCCAAGCCAGGCCAGGCCAGGCCAGTGCCAAGGATGGATGAGACCACCCCGCAGCAGCCCTTTCCAGCTCTGTTGACCGCCGTAGTTGCACAGAGAGGAGACCGCATCGCACGACACATCACCTTGGAGGCGCCAGCTGAAATGTTGGCCTGCAACCCAGGAAGCAGTTCCATCAGCGCGTCCTGGGACAGTGGCCCTTTGCAGCCACAGACAGCCAGCCGCTGGTAATAGAGCTCGGCCAGAAGCAACACGGATGGCTCTGTGGGAAACAACCTGAAACGAGACAGACACCAGGCCCAGCCGGGCCACAGCCTAAGCCAGCGATGGGTCACAGGGCAGTGCACGCAGAAGCCCATGTGGACACCCAGCGTCACTCTTCAGATGAGCGACGCGCTCAGGGAGCAGCTGGCGGAGCAGAGCGGGCGGGATGCTGTTTAGTGTTCGGAAGGCTGGCAGAGCCCCTGAACTGAGTCAACCGTACAGTGAGTGCCACGGGCCACAGGCTGGCTGCTACCTCCACCTCCCAGTCCTCGTCCTGCCACTGCCCTGCCCTCGCTTGGCTAGTGGCCCATGCCTTCACTCAGCCACGTCCTGCTTGGACACGCGCTTCCATCCCTGACCACTAGACTGCCCGACCTCCAGGCCTTGCTCAGCCTTTCTTCACCTATTTATCAGCTTGATGCCTCTCGGTGGGACATTAGCGCCACAAAGACAGGGAATTCTGTTCCACTGCCTGTGCTTCCCAGTAGAAGCTGACGGAATAAAGTGAAGGAGCCAATCTGCTTTAAAAAGCCTGGGGATACAATGGCTCCCCTCCAAACCGGCAAATACCTTTACCAGGTGTCCCAGGGGCCTGACTTTAGAAAGGTGGCATGCTTGGATCCACTACAGTGTGCTACTACCCTAACCAGAGGCTGCCTGAACTATACCTAAAAACCCAACCAACAAGTGGGGCTGGTTGAGTACCAAGTGGGGCAAAAAGGCCGGAGGAAGGTTTTCTGCAGTGCAGCCCATGAGGCGGCACTGAGGGCTGGAGTCACTGAAGAGGGGAGGGAAGGCCAACCCTGCAGGCGCTGGCATCATAAACACTTTCCACTTTACAACCTCCATGTACACAAACAATAAAAAATTCCTTTAAAAAACACGAATCTGTATCTAAAAACTATGTCAAAAAACATTTATTTTCATTGGAGGATCTAAACCAATATTAAGCTTCACTGTGTGACTACAACTCAGCTATAAAACAGGTCAGGGTTTTTATTACATCTACAGTTTCACAAACTCAGAGGCTTTTGTATTTTAGCCACTAGGCAGCCAAATGGAAGCTCCATTTACTTACAACACTAAGTTCTTCACTTGTTCCACAGGGACCAGGCGAAGGAGTTCGGAGGAGTCTTCCAAGCTTAGCAGAGTACTGACAGCTTGACAAAGAACAAACAAGTGTCCTAGGGGCAGAAAAACAGGGAAAAGCACACTACTGACTCCTCTGACTTGACTATCCAAAGCTCTCCTTTACCCAACACCGGACACAGAGTTCATACAGTGCGTCTGAGCCTTCTAGAGAACTCAGGCTGGCACGGGACTGGAACACAAAGGGGCAGAAAAGCAGCACCACGTCTTGTACCTTACCCTTCTCAGAGTGCACACACTAGAGGAGAGGATAAAATCCATGGGCCACTGGAGGACAAGCACAGGCCAGGCATCGCTACTGAGAACCTGAAACTTTGCGAGACTTGCTAGGCTACTCAAAATGTTCTGGGTTTTTGAGAATTTCCAACTTGGGGTTTTTAAGTTTGGGATGGTCAACCAGCGAAGTCTAAGCACACACTTCTATAACTGAGGGATACTGAGACCTGAAACAGTCCAAGCCTGTCAGACAGGGGTTATGCTCCACCTACCCGTGTGACGGTTCCCCCGCCAGCACCATCCCCACTCCGGCTTTTGATGAGAGCAGACGTGGACTCTCCAGTTCTACTATTGCCAAATTATCTTGGTTTTTTGGTTTGTTTCACCGGAGGCAAGGCTTTACTGGGGGGAAAGAGCTGCCGGGCTGCCTCGAACAATGGTGAGAGAGAGCGAGATTAACTGGTGCGAGGTTTTCCTACAAGTGCTGTGCCCAAGCAGAGTTTCCAAAGGTCACTAAGAAGCCACTGAGTGACAAAGACTTAAAACAGTCCCAGGCAGCGGGGACACGTCCAAGGCCACCCTTGCTCAGTGTAAGCAAATGGAAATGACTGTACGCCCAGGGGCAGGGCAGGTACGGGACAGGGGAGCAAGATGCAGGCTGGGGCCTGCCTTGGATGCTCCTCACTGCTGTGTCACTTCCTTACGTCAAGCTGTGTGACCCGGACACCACACTCCTGTCTCCTCTGTGTTTATTTATCACACAATGTTAGCTCTCTTCCCTGTGATACAGGTGTTGACAGTTATGTTGAATGCACCACAAAAGCCCAATCGGTGCTGACGACGACTGACCTTTCCCACAGCCCCCGCTGTCCACAGTCCTGAAGAGAGACTCCACGAAGCGCGTCACCAGCGGAAGCACCCGCGCCTTCTCAAGAGGCCTGTCCAGGGCGTGGAGAGAAGGGGAAGTTCACAGCGGCACTCAATGGCTCTTCCAAAGAACGGCTAATGTGTTCACCGGCACACTCACTAAACACGGCGGATTCTCTTACCGAATGTGAGGCAACACAACGAGCGCTGCCCACGGCTGTGCAAGGGAAGTCGGATCTTTACTTGGTGGGGACTGAATTAAGGACGAGAGATGGTCCCCTACTGGAAACTGCTGCTCTTCTTCCTTGGATCTAGTCTTCCTCTGCCTTAAGGAGGCTCTGCAGAAGGAAGAAAGAAAATACTCAGAGGAGGAAAGGGCTGCTGCCCGCTGATGTTGGGAACAACTCCGGTTCCTTTCCACCGAGGGGCTCTGGGGAGCAGGAGGCTGGTGGGGGTGGCTGACGACGAGCCACCAAACACACACAAGTCCTCCCAGGATTTTCTGAGAGGCTCTTCCAACTCCACTGGCTCTAGTCCTCTACTTGTCTTTGCTTCGTAACGCATTTCTTCAGGTTTAGGTATCATTTCTCCACAGTGTGCCTCTGCCCTGTCTTTCAGAACTGGGGCGGTAACTCATTGGCATGGACGACTTCCTCCACCCCACTTTTCTCTTATGACTCGAATCTTAGAACTTCCGAAGTGCAGAACGAGGAGGAGAGGCTGCTGTGGTGAGGATGAGAAACACCACTGAAAAGACAACCATACAGAAGAAACTTTCCCCCGTCGACTGCAGCTGATTCCAGCGAGGCTGTGTTTGCACAGGCCTTGGTTTTGGGTCTGTTACACAGAAATTAAGCCACTGACCGCCACGCCACGCCCCAGCTTTCTCAGGGCTGCCAGCGGCCCCACGACACAGCCCACTCCTCTCTCGGCCCGAGCCTCGGAGCTCTGAGCCCCAGCTGCCTCCTTCCCAGCAGGCTTCACCCACACGGCCCCTTCCATGCCCAAGCCCCACGGCTCGCTGCTGCCCCCGGGCCTCTGCGCTAACCCCTCTGCTTCCAAGTCTCCCCGAGACCTCTGCACAACGGGACCACTCAGCCGTGACCAACAGCCCCAAACCCGTGCCCACCAAGGAGAGCAGCGGGCACCCCCTTCTCTTCCGTGGTGAAGCCGCTCCCTTCCTTCCTATTGCTGTGCAGAATCACGTCGCTCACCTGCCTCCCTGTCCTTCCCCACGCTACCTTCCCAAGAGAAGGATCCTACTCACTTCTGTGTCCCAGGGTCTGGAACACGCCCCATACTACAAATCCGCATGGGCGACGGAATGAACTTACTTATGAGGAGCATTTTCACGTTAGCTCTCTTTTTATAGTCATAACGAGCTTGTGAAATGAGTAGACAAAGTGTAAGAAAATTCAAACTCTGATGGAAAAATCTTCTCAGAGGAAATCCGGACAAAGGCGAGCACTGGTCCTACCGTATCTTGGGGATGGGTGGGTGTTTCCCGGAGAAAGACAGGCGGAAGTTGAGGCACCTGCCTTAAGGTCACACCTCGACAGTGATTTATGACTGTACCACACCACCTCCTGGGAAGGTCTGACAGGCGAGGGGCTGGCATCCAGGCTCGCCTGTCCCCAGCTTTAGCTCAGGGGGGCCAACCCACAGCAGCTCCCCTCACCTGGCACAGAACCCAGAGTCAGGGCCACGTGAAGCCGTGTGCCTGTGGGAGCGCGGCTCAGGGGGCAAAACCCAGAGCAAAGGGTCACAGGATCGAGTCCACTGGGTGCTCAGGAATCAGGAATCAGCTTGGGCTCTTGGTGTGGGAGAAGCCACTCACTTATAAGGCAGGCAGAAGGTACACGCAGGAGTGAAGGAGACAGTTTCCCCAGAGCTTCAGGCTGATCACTCGACAGCTAACTGCCGTGTGATGGGGCGGTCACTCCCACTGCAAAGGATGGAACTCCAGGACGCCCACCTACTGCTGCTGCCTCAAGCAAAGCACAAACGCAGCCCTGGCTCTGACTAATGCAGCAGACATGAAGTTGAGCGTGAACACCCAGGAGGCTGAGGACTGGCTTCCCAAGGCGCCACCCCAGGGCACCTGCTCAACCTCTCACGGACTCAAACAAACCCTACTATGCAGACTGTAGTTCTGAATGAAATGGAAAAAGCAACCCAGGGCTCTTTTAACAATTTAATGAAAAGTGTAAATTTTGAAAAGGAGCCATCAACTTCTCCCCCCCAACCTCCTGATATCAGCCAACAGTTAACAGTTTTGTGTAAACTTGGGGAGCTGTCAGTTCTCTCCACACCCATCTATGCAATTCCTAACAAGACCCCAGGGAGACTTTCTGCAGACATAGATGGGCTTATCCTACAATTTCTACAGAAAGGCAAAGGACCAGGAAGAGCTATAACAATTTTGAAAAAGAAGAATAAAGTGAGAAGATTTTTATTCAAAGATTTTCAGACTTACTTTCTGTCTTATAGCTAGAGCAGTTAAGACCTCGCGGTAAGGGAGGAAGAGACACACATCGATGGAACAGAGCAGAGAGGCCGGAAGCGGACCCACACTCCCAGCTGACATCTGACAAACACACAAAGGCACCAAAGGTACATCAGCAGCTGCATGAGGAGGAACAGCCTCTCCCCAAAGTAACAACCTCTGGACTGAAACTTCAAGCCTTACACAAAGATTAACTCACAACGTTTCGGGGACTTAAGATGTAAAACATAAAACAATGTAATTTTGAGAAAGAAACAGCAAGAGAAAATTGTTGGGACCCAGGGCTATCTGGAAAAGGAGAATTTGATAATCTGGACTTCATCAAAATTTAAAGCTTTATTCTCCCAGAAGAGCCTTGGTAAGGGAATAAAGGCACGCTAGAGAGGAGAAAATATTTGCTAATCACTTATCTATATGATGAAGAGACTTGTATGTCAGCTACATTTACCATTCTCAACACTGCAAAGCAACAAAATAATCCAAGTAGAAAATAGGCCAAAGAAACGATCAGATATTTCACCATCTGGGCCGGGATTTACCTCAGTGGTTCTGCCACCTGCCTGGCAAGCGCAAGGACCTGAGTTCAATCCCTAGTACCAAAAAACCCCCACAAAAACAGATATTTCACTATAGAAGACAGAGAGATGATGAATACATAAATAGATGTTTCAATGTGATTAGCCATCAGGGAACTGCAAATTAAAGCTAAAATACGAACATTCCTACACCCCTATCAAACTGGAAAAAAAGAAAGGATAATTCCAGAAGCCAGGGAGGACACAGACAAACTGGATCATTCATACACCAGGAGTGAGAACGTAAAGTGGCACAACCACCCGGCGCCTCTTGTAAACCAGCCACGTGCTTAGGAAACAGGCCGACAACACCGCTGTGCATAATGACCCAGGACCAGAGATGATGTAAATGTCCTGCAATGGGTGAATGGCTAAACAAGCACGCCACATTCACGAGAATGGTCCTCACCAACACAGAGAAATCAACTTTCTCATACACACAACCTGGATGAGTCTCAAAGGAATTGGGCGGAATGAAAAGTCAGTCTCAAAGGGTGCAGCTGTAGTTCCGTTTACATAATATTCCCAGAAGGACGACATGGAAAGGTGGAGAGACTAGAAGGTGAGAGAGGTTGAGGATGGAGAGGGATGGAAGAGTGAGTGTGACTACAGAGACAGCGATGGTCAGGCCTGGCAGCACGTCCCTGTAATCCCTGCACTCTGGGAGGCTGAAGCAGGAGGACCTCAAATTCAAGCCCAGCCTGGACAACTTAGCTCCTTCATGAGACTATTTCAAAAATAATTTTTTTTTTTCAGTACCGGGGATCAAACTCGGGTCCTTGCGCTTTTAAGGAAGGTGTCATAACCACTGAGCTACATCCCCGGCCCCCAAAATAAATTTTTTTTAAAAGGCCCAAGGAGGTAGCTCAGTGTGAAGGCCCTGGGGTTCAATCCTTAGCATCACAAAAACGCAAAGATAAAAGAAAAAAACCCTGATGCTGTTTGGAGTGCTGGGACAGTCCTGTCTCCTGCTGGTGGTGAGACAGGAGTGCACAGGGCTACATACTCATCTGTGTGCGCATGCTCAGGCAAGTGCACGTAAAGCAGGAGCCCGGAGCGAGGGCGGGAGCTGTCCAAAGCCTGTTTCGGCCTGTAACAGTGCACTCAGGCAAGATGGAGCATGCAGAACACCGCACCTTTCCCTGCTCCCTGCAATGTGGATTTACGATTATTTTAAAATAATTCTTTCCCACCTGCTCTCCTGGGAGAAGCAAAGCTAGCAGGTTTGCCTCCTTCCCTGCATTTCCACGCTTACGATTTCCACCTTCTAACAGACTGCGCCACGTGTGCAGCCCCAAGTGTCCTTCCCCACGGCACCTCTGGCCACACGGAGTTTAACAGTCCGCTCACGACTCACCCCACAGTGCGCGGGCCGAAGAGCAGTGGGTATGTCTCCATCATCACGCAGCCAGCAGCGGGAGGCGCTGCTTTGTTCAGAATGAGCTTGGCCAACATGGCCAGGGCTTCATCCCGGACCACTGTGTCCTCAGCCAAGAAGCAGTCCTCAATGTACACGAGAAAGCTGGGCAGAAAAAGCTGAGGACAAGAAAGGAAATCAGGCTCACTGACTGGAAGATTCCAGAATACCTAGGAAAGATTACACACTTCTAAAAAATAAAAGGCCACGCGACCCTGTAATCCCAGCTACTCAGGAAGCTGAGGCAGGATGACTGCCAAGTCGGAGGCCACTCTGCAACTCTGTGAGACTTGGTCTCAAAATAAACGAATTATAAGGGTTGGGTGTACAGCCCAGAGGTAAAACTCTTGTCAATCCCCATCTCCCCAACAAAACAGAACAGACCATCAGGAGTCAGTGCTACTAAACCCTCTGTAAGAACAATGAAAGCTAGAGGACAATGCATTGCGGCAAACCCCAGAAACAGAATCTAGACCTCTGTACCTAGCCCACTACTAACGTAGTGTAAGGAGAGGAAAAAAGACATTTCCAGATGGACCAGATCTTAAGTTCTTACCTCCACGTACCTTCTCAGGAACCCCTGAAAAATGTATTTCTACAAAACGAGAGTGTAAACTATAACGAGAGGAAAAGACCGAATCGAGGGAATAGAAAAGAAGGCACAGGACACCCTAGTTTAACATCCGTGCAGTGGACTGAGAAAGAAAACCCTCTGGACTGGAATAACTCCCAGAGCAATGTCTTCCCGGAAACAGAAGGAAAAAAGCGCAGGACAGCCCACTGTGCCACTCAGCAACCCGCCCGTCCGCCATGTCAAAGTGTTTACAACTTTCTGCTGGGGACAGACTCATCCACCAGCCAGGCACATCCAATTTCCAGGGTTTAGAGTTGAGGTGATTACTAACCACAGGAAAAGGGAGAGGTACACGAAAAGGGCGTGTAACCCCAAGATATTCCTTGTTATAAAAATTAAGCATGGAGTGAACGTGGATTCAAGCACATTCTGTGACAAAAGCCTGCTGGGATGATGAGTAAAAACCAAAATCCCTCTGCCATAGGAGGCAGCTTACAGATAAAGACTACGGCTAATAAATCAAGATAGCAGTGGATTCAGAGGACAGAGATAGGATGGAAAACTTCTGGAGTCAAATCGGAGCACAGATTATGAAAGACTACAGGGAAGAAGATGACAGACACAGGGGTGGGTTCCACTTGCACTCAAGGGCCCTGACTGGTCATGAGAGTGGCAGCGTTTAGTGGGGCAGGAGGAAGAAGAAAGCACGCTCCTTACCTCACCAGAAAGGCTTCCACTTTGTCCCATCAGATATTTGTTTTGGAGCAGTGAAATAAACATGCAAACTTCCTTCAGTGCAAGCTAATTCAGAAACTATTTTCTATGCTTCAAATTCATATAATAGTTCCATTTATTAAACTTCTTTTCCAGTTTTCCCACATGGTTCTATAACTACCTCAAATATTATTAACAACAAGGTGCCTACTACATATCATTTTACACTTGATCTTAGCCAAAAGGCTGAGAAGCGACTGCCTATCGTTTTAAATGCCTTAGCAAATGGAATAAAATTTTGCCTACAACCTAAAGCTGAATATATTTTTAAAAACTGACTAAAACATCAGCACTAATTCTATTCCTCTCAAGAAGCAAACAAAAACTCACAGGATTTCAGATTTGATCATTTTATCATGTCTGACTTGAGAAAACACACAAAACTTAATAACTTGCTTACCTGCTCAAACTGCTTCATAGCAAACATGACTTCAGAAAAATCAAAAATTAAACGTCTTTCCAATCTGCTCTCAAAAACCTGTGGATCATAGGTAGAAATAGATTAATGGAAGCATGTGGAATATCTTCTCCCTCGTTCCCCCAGAACAGCAGCCATAGCAAGGCTCCAGGGCTCAGTCACATGGCACTGCTGCAGGGCGTGGCTTCTCCAGGACTCGGGCGCAGAGCGCGGCGCAGGCAGCGTCAGCACTGCACAGGCCTGGCTGGAGCTGCTGGGCACCCTCAGCTGCAGAAAACCACAAAGCACACGGGAACGGCTGAGCTTTGTCCAACCAGGAAGCACCCACACGATTTTCCACTTCCCATGCTATGTCTCTCACACCATCTCCCAACTCACTACAAAAATCTCATCAAATTTCGTGCCTGCTTAGCATCCTCCCGGGCCCCTCCACCACCTGTAGGACAAACCCACTCTCTCGCTGCCAAGCCACACAGTGACAGCTGCTGTCCTGTCACAGAGAACGCGCACTCATCAACACACATCTTTCCTGACCCTCCTGGTGTTTTAGGAGACAGCTATGGAACCTTCGAGGACTCTCCCAAACATGAGTCCATTTCTCAACCCCTGGCAGATCTGAGTTAAAATTCAACATACATGCCTAGTAGCTCACTTCCCGAGACTGTAATGAGTCACTCCGAGTCCCTGATCCTGACAACCAAAATCTATAGGCAGCACAGGGCTCCCAGCACTTCAAGCACCCTGCACTATCACACTCAGTGAACGCTGTGTACATTCAGCTCTTCCCACTCATTTTGCTCATTTCCCTTACAGTGTGGCACGCTCGGCTCCCTAGCCAGGCGATAAATACCCCAAAGGCAGAGCCCCTGTCCTGCTACACGTGTCCCCAGCAGGCACACTCGATGCTAAACATGTTACTAACTACCCAATGTGGTTGAAGCAAATTACTTTTTCTATGGTTTCTCTGATGAGGGTGTCTGGCAAAGAAACATTTCCACCCAGGATCAAAGCAGAAATTACATCCAAGAGGGTCTTCCGGCAAGCTGTGGAGAGACTGGCTATGTGTACCGTTTGAGACAACACCTGCGAAAATAAAACAAAGAACAGCGCCCGTTAGCGATCCGCTTTTAACACACAGTTATAGGCACAGGAAGCTGGGAACTCACCTTACAAACACCAGCAGGGTTGGTTATCTTGGATCCATTTCCATGTTTCACTAGTATCAGGTACGTTTCCAACAACCTTGCAATCTGCTCAGAACTTTCACAAGAACTCTTTTTTGTTACTTTGTCATGTAGGTCCAGGAGTGACTCCTGCAAACAAAGAATTTAATAGAGAAAATAAAATCTCAAGTGCATCTGTTCATCCAGCGGTAGAAATCCTGGGACTGCAGTCCAACTCCTCACACTCCTTTGCTTTGGGAGAAAAAGGCACATTTTCCAGGAGTCACCGACAATGACGGCTGGCGTTGCCTGGGTGCTCACCATCCACACAGCAACCTGGGCGTGGGAACGGTGCACCCCTCTCCCAGTTGCCTTCTACACAGGCAGTGTGCAGAGCCACGAGTCCGGCAGGAGGCCTGGCAGAGCCCCCCAACCCCAGGGATCGGGACCGTGAGCAAATGAGTAGAGTGCGGCGGGTGGAAGGAAGGGAACCTTCACGTGTGGCCAGAAGAGTGAGGAGAACGAGCACAAAACCCAGCTTCCGGGAGTTGATAAAGACTCCTTATTCCACACTCCTGTGACTTGATTTTAAAAATCAGAACTCACTTGCAAACAGTCAAAAAATGTACCAAAATGTTCCTTGTAGACATAGAGAACAGTGGACCTGGCCACGTTTTTTAGTGTTTCTCCTACTAAGATCCACGGCAGCTGAGTTTCTGTTTCAGTAAGTGGTCCGAGCTTCTGCAAAGTTAGCTTCAGTGCCTGTGGGAAGCAAGAACAAATACCAGGAACACACAAACCCTCACTCGTAAGTTAGCACTCCGACTAGACTAGCAACCTGAAGACTCTGCTCTAGAACCACCGAGGCCATGGCAGCTTTCATGGTTAACTATGTGCCCCAGGAAGAATTTCCAAACTAGGATGGGGAATTTCATCACAACGGCCTCTCTGCCCTAACCTCAGTCTTCAGTTAACCTGTGTTCTAACCTCCGGTGTCCAGGATAAGGAAGACCAAAGTGGCTTCGTCTGTAAAAGTACACCAGGAAGCACTGGTACTAATCCCCTAACTCTGCCCTGCTATAGCTTTTCTAACTATTCTAGCTAACCCTGTCACCATACCAGGTAGCTTGCCCAATTCTCCTTATTTTCTGTTTAACCCTTCCACACAGACTCCAAGCTCTCCACCCCGTTGTTTACCTGGCCTGCACAGGAATGAAACATATTTCTAACTCCTTTGCACATTTCAAAGAGTAATTGTCCAACTCCTTCCACCTTTTCTGGATGTTCATTAAGATCAAGAAACATTAAATTGAAAAGGGCATTTTTATCAGAGACCTAAAAGGCAAAATGGAAATGGAATAACATAAATATATCCACGTGAGAAATGTCACTTCTTATCCTACATATTCATATAAACACACTCAAGGAAAACAGTTCTGAAAGGAATAGACATGTGTAAGACGTCAAACTACCAGAACTGTGTACTGGTATCAATTTATTGGCAAGATGGAAAATACCAAGAAAAACTATACAAGGCAACATTCTCTTTCAAAGGAAATTACTTTTTATTACTTGTACTTATGAGCATAAAAGAAATTCAGTATCAATTTCTTTTGTTTTATTACAAAATCCTTGAATTTACTAGGGAAATTTTAATAAACACAAATAATACTATATTGCCAGTTCTTTCCAGGAAAGTATTACAAAAATTCCAATCATCTCATCGTTCACGTATTTTACGTCTGGACTTAGCGGTCACTTCTCATCCACACACTGACAGCTATCGACACCTCACTAGCCATCAGAGGGGCTGTATCACTCTTATCACATTAATTACTGAGTAAGGACTAAACTTTGCAATGAGACACACTCAGAATAGCAACCAGTTTCTACTTATGTATTTAAAAAATTTACTCCATAATAATCACATTAAAAAGTGATGTCAGCTATACTCACCTGATTCTTGACAATTTACTAGCAATAAACATAGAAAATATTGAACTAACCTTTCTCATCAAAAAAGTAAAGCTTTCAGCAGCAAAATTTCTTATATGCAGTTTTCTATGAGCCAAGAGTGTACTGTACATGCTGTAAATGAGAAAAACGAGACAGTTTAGTGACATACTGTCAATCAGGACAACATGCCCAACACTGCTCGGTATGGAGGGGACGCGACGCAGGGGTGTGAGCTCAGCGTCTCTCACTTCCTGGACAGCCCCCGTCAGACACAGGACCGAGAGCACAGGCCTTCAGAGGGCAGGGGCCTGGGCTCACAGGGAAGACCCCAGGAAGCTGAGACTCACAGTGAGCTCTGAAGGACAGAGTTCAGGCGGGGACTGGGATGCACAGTGTTAGGATAAAAACGAAAGCAAAGATGGGGCGAGTGGAAGTGATCCGTCAGGAAATAACAATAAGACAGGTCCGTGTTGGAAAAGAAGGGCTGTGTGGTTTAGCGGGGCAGCCACAGGTAGAAGGCAGCTTGAACGCCAGGAGAGGAACTGTGACTCGGGCTTGCGTCTGTGTAAGCACTTCCCGAGTTCCTCCATTCAATCAGCAAGACGCTTCTCCGTGACAGGTGCTATCATTAACCCATCCTACAGGCAGTGATTTGGTCAGCCATGCAGCTCTAGCTGACCTCTCCCATAATCACACCGCTAAGTTAGTTTTCTTAGTGAGGGAAGAGTATAGAATTCAGCTCTCCTCCCATTGCCATAGCCCCAGTCCCTAACAGCTCCTTACTCCTAACTACTGAAAGCACTGGCTGAAGGACATTTTCAGGAAGATACATTTTGCAGCAATACACAGGAGGAAATCAAGGAAGAAAGAGGTTGGTGGCTTAGGGACCCAGTGGAGGACACTGGGAGCTGTTCTGGGGGGTCCCTGCAATGTAGCCCAAGGCCTCACTACTGCTCCTCCGAACAACCTGTTTACCTTCACCCCCATCCATTCTGCTGCCTGAAGGTGCCAGGCCTGTGCCCAGGATGCTTCTCCCCTTACTAAAACAGCATCTCTGTGAGAGAGATTTTGATTTACTTATGCCTGGGTCTCAAGGGCTCTACTCGCAGACAGCATTCAGCAGTTAATACTGCAAATGTGTCGGTGAATGACAGAAGCCAGAAGATTTGCGTCCTGAAGACACTGGGTTGAAGATGTCTCTAAGGAGCCCAGACAGGAAGAACGCTGGTATCACGGACAGAAAATGGGCACCAACAGGCCGGACATGGACGGACACTCGGTGCACACTCAGGGAGCACATGGATGTGTGGAAAGTTATCAAGAGGTAGTTTGAACAGAAATGTATTGAGTTTGGTTTCAACAATCCTGGAAAATATCCAGGCTGCTGAAAACATCACACTGAAGGCAAATAAGTTTGGCAGTGAGGGAGCTGACTTGGGAGACATTAAAATGACAGCTTTTGACATCAGACGCCATAAAACCAAATAAACTACATTTCCCAAGGATCTTTTGGTTTACTGAAATAATCTTGATTTCTAATACATTTTACCAAGAGCTTCACAGAGAATAAAGGCTGGAAAAATACTTCTTTCCCATTCTTTGTTCAAAGTTCCTAGAAGAGAAGAGTGGGCACAAAAACAAAATCGTTGTCCTATCCCATACCACACCTTTTATGGGTTTGGAGTGTGAAGGGCTGACTGCTGATCATGGAAGATTCCATCCAATCTCAGATTTAAAAAGACAGTATCTTTTCTTTAAACAAAAAGCTACTATGGGGCAGGCATGCTGACACATGACTAATTACAGCACTGTGGGAGGCTGAGGCAGGGAGACTGCAGTTTCAAGCACAGCCTAGGCAACTCAGTGACTTAGAGACCCTGTCTCAAAATGAAAAATAAGAAAAAGGCTCAGGAGGTGGGCCAGTGTGAAGGTCCTATGCTCAATTCCCAGTTCTGAGGAATTCTTTGTCCTCTGTGTTGACATGTACTCAAAAATATCGGGGCTCTCTTTGGCTCAGCAGCTGAGGAAACATGGTGTACAAGACCCAGATCACAGGTCTGTAGAGGAAAGCATTACAACAGGTACAATAAAAGCTTTGTGGTATAAGTGACAGAAATGCCAAAGAGGTGTGGTACTACGCTTCTGGCGTAGTAGCCCAGGAGTCTCTGTAGAAGTCATGAAACCGAAGTCAGGCTTTGAGGGTAGCATTACACAAAGAGCTGCTGATGAGGGGAAGTCAGGTCCACACGGACTTGAGGTATATCTGACAGGACAGGGGACTGGACTGGGGAGACTGCGGCCAGCGAGCAAGCTCTGAACAGGGGAATGATTAAGCACTACGCTGGGGAGGTCACCTGAAGTCAGGCAGAGGAAGGATAAGGAGAGGCAGATTCACCTGTAAACCCTGGCCATATCCTTCACCATCAGCCTCCACAGGTACTTGTACAGGTAGGACAGCGAGGTGAAGGCCCACTCCAGCAGCTCCGTGTCCTGTGTCTCCAGGAGGGAGGTGACAGTCACGAAGAAGTCGGGAAAGTGCGGGTAGAAATCCGTCTGCAGGTCTCGCGCCAACTGCACCACCAGGCTGGGTTAAGAAAGAAGCACCTGACTATGCAGTTTTTAAAAAGGCTGTAAATCTACTTATGGAGAAATGACCTACGATCACTGGATTCATTAAAATTAAATGAAAATACTTCTAAATCAAGTCTTAAGAAGCAAAATTCTTCAAATCTCAGGAGTTTGGCAAAGAAATCAGGGCAGACAGGCAGTCTATTCCTTCAAAGGCCGTGGTTACTGCTCCTACACCATCAAAAAAGAGCTTTTGAGAAGGAAGTAACAAATGCTAAATCGTATTCTTAGGATGCTGCTTCCTCATATCCTGATCTAATAGAAAAGGTAAATCTCTGTCTCTAAACACCGATTTAAGGCATATACAGCTATGAAACACAATTCTTCTTAAAAACTCAGATAAATGCCATTGAGTTTTTTCTCAAAATGCTACTTACTCCAAAAGGGGCTCGTGGGCAAAACTGTTCCTAACTTGCAGGTGAGTCTTCAAACTCTGAACGATCTCATTTTGATGGTAGACCAACTGATTAAATGACTGGCATTTGTCAATAACTTCTTTATAAAATTTTCCTGGGTGAAAAAAACCAAAGGAATACGTTCTGCTTTTCTATCACATCATTACTTATTTGGAGCATGTAAAGTGCAAATTGTGAGAGAATAAAATATAAACAAAAGAAAAGATACCGAAGTGTTCTGTAAGGTTCAATTCTCTCCATTTCAGCAGACCTTCAAAGAAGTAAGTTTCCACTTCCTGCCAAGATTAAAGTGCTCCATTAATCAGAGGACACCAGGAAAACTATGACCAAGTTAACAAGAATAATAATATATTTACATCTTACAGCTCCTTTTAGATTTCTTAAAGAGTGGTATTAGCTAGCATACTTGAAAAAGCCATAAGAGGATAGGATCAACAGATTTTTACAAAAATAATGTTGGTTGATTTGGCCGTAACAAATAACTTTCTAAAGGCCCTATAATAGCCATACTATGGGAAAAACCCTTTTCTGTGTTTTTGCAAGGTTAGACACAGAAAAATGTGCTAATTCTTTTCTAGTTTTTAAACTCTGCTTCCAGAAATATGAATTGCTAAAACCTTATGGTAAAGTAATCTGGCCTTTCTATTAAAATTAAAATAGGTTTGACCTTTGATCCAGAAACTTCATTTAAAAGCTATTTCTTATGAAATGTGTAACTATACAAGTACAAAGATGTTTACTCAGCTTGCCATAGTGATGGGAAAGCATAAAACAGCCTCAAATCCAATGATAGCAAAATATTTAGAGTAACTTATGGTCTATACATATTAAAGTATATTATGTGGCTATTTACAAGAATTATATTGGGGTGGGAGTAGCTTGGTGGTAGAGTACAGGCTTAGCATGCACCAGGCCCAGTACCCAGCACAGAAAGAAAAATAAATAAATTCCATCTACGTTGAACTAGAAGGATGTTGATGATATGCTCCCAAGATGAAATCTATGTTGGGATCTAATTTTACCTTAACAACACCAAACACCCCATAAACATTTGCACACAGTTGTATGAGCACGAGAGGAGAGGATGGAAGAACACAAAAATACTCAACTGTCAATACTGGTTTCATGGCAATAAACTGAGAGGAAAGAGAACAGCTGTTTTCTAGGTTTAGCACTTTGTTGTTTAGCACAGTTTGAAAGGGAAAGCCAATAAATTCTTACTATGTATGTATGTGCACACGTAGAGGAGGACAGAAGAGACAGAACACACACACATTCCCAAACAGCATGCAAAAATCTCCTGCTATCTCAAAAACAAAAAAAAAAAGAAAGAAAGAAAAGAAAGCCTTAAATTGTTCTTTGGAAATCTTTAAATAGGCAGAGTGAAGAGGAAGAAAGAAAATCCCATTAAATCTTGTTCGGTGTCCCCTAGGCAGGAGAAGGAAGAAGTGGAAATCTTCATGAGGAAGGCTTTTCTCGCCTAGCAGTGACTGACACAGGACACCCCTTTGCGACAGACCAAGTCCCTGTGACTATGCGGCTCCGCCCACCAGGACACCAATTCTCACCCCCTGAATCTGGCCCTGCCTGGTGACTTGCTCTGATCACTAATGTCTGACAGAGCCACCGTGTTACACCCAAAGCAAGGCTTGCTGAGATTCTGCAGCTCCCGCTTTCACTGTCTCGAGAGATTTCTCCATCACGAGAAGCCTCATCTAGCGGACTGACAGGAGAGCACAAGGACCATCAAGACCAATAAGCCCCAGCCAACTGCCAGGGATGTGAGTGAGGCCACCTGGACCACAGGGTCCTGCCCCAGGCTCTCCTCTCGCCCTCAGCCCTTGATACTCTCAATCTCTCCCACAGTGTAAACTATGAACCACCTGCTGAACTCCACACCCGCAACTCCCCTCTGAAGTCACCTGCTCCCTGTACCCAGATATCCACATGTCTCTTGGACACTATCAGTCGCACAGACACAGGTATGCTAAGTTCAGCACTGCAATTATTCTCCCCCCACAACCTCCAACTCCTTTTCCTACAAACTGATCTCAATGAATACATCCTCAACTACTCAGTTATGGAACCAAGTCTCTTTCTCCCCACGTATCCAGTAGGCCACAAGTCCTTTCCACTCCTTAGTATCTCTGGAATCCTTTCCTCTCTCTACCGGACTGCCAGATCATTTCTAACTTATACAGAGCTTTACAAGTGGTTGTCTTGACTCCAGTGCTGCTCTTTCCTCCATACTGAAACCAGAAAGAGGGAAAATTTAAACCTGATCACATCATCCACTCCCTTCCTTACAACCCCAGAATGAAACACCATAACTTCAGGATAAAATCCAAACTTAGCTTGGCATTTGGACCCTTTATGATCCATGCCTATGTCACCAGCTGTCCCTCCTCTTGCCCTAGTAATCATAAACACACACAAACACTAAACACATCCCTAAACACACTGGACTGCTTTGCGTGAGTGTGACATGCATTCCCTGGCCTCTATCCTTTACACAGGTTTCTCCCTCAGCCTGAAATAGCTTTTCCTGTCCTCTGTGCCATGCTGAAACCTATACAAACAACAAAACTCAAATCAGGGTTCATCTTGTCTACACTACCTTTTTTGACACCCCACCAAAGAATTTAGGTTAGGCTCCCTTCACTGAACTCCCAAAGCATTGTGTTTACCTAAAGAACATTTCACATATTGAACTTGTATGATAGAGGCAACACATTAAAAGAAACAGTGAGCAGAATTTGAAAAATAGTAAGGGGCCAGGGATGTAGCTCAGTGGTGCTGTGCCTGCCTGGCAAGTGCAAGGTTCTGAGTTCGATTCCCAGTACCAATAAAAAGTAAGAACTGAGGTTGAATGGCATCTTCTACAAGATCTTTCAAGGCTAGCAGAGGAATGACTTGATACACCAAAAAGAAAAATGTTTCTACACAGAGGGATGACAGTTTCAGTGTGGTTAGAGCTAGAAAATCATGTAGTCTAGCCCCATCACCAGCTCTTCTATCAAGAGGGACCATATTCTTATTGTTGGATTTTTAGGCTGTTCTATTCCTCCTCACAGCAAAGCTGAATAAACATCTTTAAATATGCATGTCTAAACTACAGAAAGAAACTAAGCCCCAGGAAAGTGGCTTGCTCAAAATCACTTTAAAATCATAGCTGTAGGACTATGGCTGTAGTAGTGCATTCTGGGAAGGAGGAGGCTCAAATCAAAAAAGTTAGCTGAGTATCACGTCAAGTTCATTGTCTAAAACAGCCTCACCCAATAGACCTTTCTATGTCTGCACTCGTCCAAATATGGGAGCAACTAGCCTCACATAAGGTTAATTTGAGCGCTTTACATTAAAGGTAAATTAAACATCCATTTGCCAGGTGTGGCTTCTGTACTAGGCCACATCTTATGATTTCATGTTCATAAAAGAAATGGCTTAAAAACTCACTTCTACTAACAGGCCACAGTTAAAAAGTCTATGAACACTTGAAGATTGGCTAATATCACATTCTCTTACCTCATCATAGCTTGCAGTTCTATCAATACGGTGAATAATATCAATATTCACATTCCCCAGCCGTTCAGCGAATGTAAGAAACTGGGAGGAAGAACATATTTAACATGCATCATCATTCACAGCTCATTGCATCTTGAGTACCATTTAACAACCACATGTAGGTAGCTGCCTTGTTAACGTAGAAAGCATAAAGCTTCATTCACTAAGCCTCCCTATGTGCTATCACTGCAGATAACTCTATGTTGTGCTCATTTCGGATTTGTGGAGTCTATGAATCATAAAATGTGTAATTGTTAAACTAAAAGCACAGATCACTGATAAGTCACAAAGAATAAGGGTAAAAACAAACCTAAAGTCACAGGGCCTTAAAAGCACTGCGTTACTATTTGAAGATAAGGAATACTACTTTTGCCTAAGTTCTTTCAGCTACTCCATGCTAGACTTGTGAAGTTGGCCAAAAGCACAGAGATCTAGCGAAGTCGTTGCAACAAAATGCTTTTAAACACATACAGACCTACGTTGTAACGAAGACCTAGAAAAGCTGCTACGGTGGCCATTAGATGAAGTCACTCACTCTCCCACGGGCCTGCCTCCCCAACTCTGTAAATATAAACGAGCAGGCGAATTTCGGTCCTAAGCAATCTCCTGGGATAACAAATGTCATTCTAGACTGAAGAGGGTTCCCCAAATCGGATCCGACCTCCCAAACCAAGGGCGAAATCTGCTACTCAAACTTCCTCACTTTCCCGCTCCATGTTTACTACACCCTTGAGTCCCACTTTCGCCAGAGCCGCTGGCAGATGACACCGCCCGGCCCAGCCTCTGCAGCCTCGGGAGCCCGTCTGCTGTCTTAGTCCGAGGCAGCAGGACCCGCGAAGCCCGGCCCAGGCTCCCGAGCTCACCCGATAAGTGTTCTCCGTCTTGTGGGAAACGGGCTTTATTTTCATGGCTGCAGAGGGGAAAGTCCCGGAGGAGCCTCCGGAAGAGTCAGAAGGATGAGGTCGATGCCAGGGAGCCGAACGGGGCTCACACGTGGTGCTCTCCGCTTGCCAGCGGCTGGGTCTTTCTCACGTGTGACTCGAGAATCTGGGCGCCGCCATGTTGGAAGGGAAAGGGCCTGGGCGGGTCACGTGGGCGGAAGGAGCAGTCGGAGCAGGCGCAGTCTCGCCCCCCCTCCGCCAGCTGGAGGCGGCCGGGGCGGTGGGGCAGCGGGAGGCGGGCCGAGACGAGAGGGGCGGGGATAGGCGCGAGGGGTCGGGGCGGAGTCGTGTCAGCCTGGTTCGTCTCGCTGGAGCACTGGTTAGCGAGAAAGATGTGTACGATATTTTATTGTAAAAGAAAACGTACGTGTCATTATCAGCTGGAATCGACTGGCCTTCACTTTGTACCCTGCACCTTGCAAAAGGTCTTTCCATTCGTAATTGCACAGTAAAGTTTATTGTGACCGCTAAATGTAGAGGAGATATTAACAAGGAGCGATGGAAAGATACGGTGAGTGTTTCCATTAAAAAAAAAAGTTATTACGGTAAAAGAAATATTGCCAGGAACGATGGAAGACGTGTGTTCAAAGAGAGGGGGAGTATTTTGAGGGGAATTTATATCATGTGTTTTTTACTGTAAAAAAAAGTTTAAACATTCACCGTGTTTTTGATTACCCCTCATTGATCAAACATTTGCAGTATTTCTGCCACATAAAAACCTTACAGTGAGTCCTCATCCACCTCATTCACTGGATCTGGCGCCGTGTGACTTCTGGGTCTGGCCCAAGTTAGAGTGACCGTGAAAGGTAAACGTTTTGAATCGATTTCAAGACATTGAGGCAGCCAGGACAGCACAACTAAAGACAATCTGGAAAAAGGACTTTTAGAACTGCCTTGGAAAATGGCGAGGAGGGTGATATAAGTGTGTCCCAAGCAGAGCAGAGGGGGATTAATAGCAATGTATCTTTTAGTGTAATAATTTTTAAAACGTAAACATTCAGCATATTTTAAAATCAGATCTTACACTGTTTTTAAGCCCCTTTGACACATGAGGGAACTCAGGCTGTCCAGCTGGTAGTGGCTGTCTTCACTCAGACTCCAAATGTTGGGGTCACTCATGGTGTCACGTTTTGATATTCTTAATTGTTATGTTCTAAATAAATTTGAATTTTAAAGAAGAAATGTTTAATTCCATGCAAGTCATTGTTACTGTTTCACTGTCTTTCTGTCACTTTAATGTCTGTGACTAACGTGACCAACCCTAACTGTACAATCGTATCACGTTTTTATTAGTGCATATTAACTTTCAAACTATTGGGTTCCCTGGTGGCATTTTAATATGACATAACTCGATCACATCTGTCCCCTCCTATACTCTCTGTGACCCTCTTCTCTCCCCCTTAGTCCCTTCCTCTGTCTGACAACACTCTCCCTTCCCTTTTCATGTCATCGCTGTGGAGTTTTTAAAATTATCATTCCCCATATTGGGGAAATCTTTCTGCTCACTTTGCTTAACACGATGACCTCCAGTCTCATCCATTTTCCTCAACAGACGTAACTTCATTCTTCTTTGCAGCAGAACAATACCCCATTGCACACATACACCACATTTTCTCGATCCACTCAACCACTGATGGACCACATATGGGTTTCATGTCTTGGCTGTTGTGATTTCCATACGCACAATTTTAAATAAAGTACTTTGATTTTCACCTGTTTAATATTTATTCATTCAGAAAACATTTCTTTTATTTCTTTACTTTTATTTATTTCTTTTCTTTTTTTATTTTGATTTTTGCTTTTTGAGATAGGATCTCGCTATGGAGTTCAGGCTGGCCTCAAACTCACTGTGTAGTCCAGATTGGCCTCAAACTCTCGGTGATCCTCCAGCCTCAGCCTCCCCAGTGCCGGGTTGACACTCGTTTGCCACTATGCCCTTCTCTACAAGTATTTCTTGAATCTAGTATGGGTTAGATGTTGTCCTGGCAGCTGAGCAAGAAAGACAATACTAATACTAATACCAATGACTCAGTCTGGAAATACTGAGTCTGGGTTGCTGACATCTTGTAAAATAAAGGGGCAGTGTGAAGTAGAAACCAGATGCACTGCTGTGTAGTGCTCAGCATGGCGGTCAGGCCTGGAGGTGCAGCACAAAGGCCTTCAACACCCTACACACCTCAAGCTCCAGGTATGGGTGAGGAGGAAGCAGTCAGCCAGGGAGACCTGGGTGAGGCATGGTGTGGAAGCAGAGCCAGGGGCCGGTCACCCTGAACACTGAGGATGGGGAAGTCACCACTGGAACCAACAAGGGGAAGTCACGGGCGTCCTGGACATGGTCTTGACCAGTGCAATCCAGTGGAGAGCAGAAGCGAAACATGTGGGCTGAGGAGGGAATTGGAGGTGAGAAAGTGAAGAAGATACACTTTTCACACTGTCATCAACATTATAGCATCAACATCTTCTATGTCATAACAAAGTTATTCTAAATATTTCAGCGGCTCCATAGCATATCTGAATTGTACTTTTCTAATAATAAAGTTATATTAAAATATTGAAGGGCCCAAAGTTTGGTTTGTTTCCAACTGGTCCTTTCTTTAGGTTGCTCTCAGCCTTTATGGTGCACAGAGTCCTTAGGGCCGTGGTGGCGAACCTATGGCATGCGTGCCGAAGCGGGCACACAGAGCCCTCTCTGTCAGCACGGGAGCCAACTTGTCCCAGCAGCCAAGCATAGGATAAGTTGTTATTTCTAAACTAAAACCTCAGTATTCGTCTTTAATTGCAGTGTTGAGACTTTGCAATAAATGAGTGGGTTTTGGGTTGCAGTTTGGGCACTCGTCTCTAAAAGGTTCGCCATCACTGCCTCCGGGAAGTCTAGAAAAGCAGAAGGTAGACCCACTCCTCAGAAAAATGTAAATAAACTTATTCACACAAAAACGTGTAGATGATTTCAGAGAGTTACAGCCTGCAGTTACCCGAGGCTAGGAATTCCCACTCTAAGTGGGGTTCTCAATCTGTTGCCAGAATTACTTCCAAAAATTGCCCCTTTTCTTCCTTTGCTATTTATTTTTGGTAATGGAGTTAGTAGGGCACTAAGGAGCTGAGAAAAAAATGAAAAATCAAGGAAGCTAAAAGAACAGACACTTGCAAGTTACCTTTTGCACTGTTACTTGTCACAAGACCCTCAGACCTTGGCTTAGGTGGGGGACAACAGAGCATCGTAGCTTGGTGATTAAAGGCTCAGAGGCTGGGAGTAGACTCTGTGTGAAGCCTGCTTCTCCCATTTAGTAGTGGGTGACCTTGAGCAAGTCAGTTACCCTCTCTTATCTAGGGGAGGAGATAGCAGAAGTGCCTGCCTTGCTGGTGGCTGTGGAGATTAAACAAGTAGTGGTTGAAAAGGGCATAGAATGGCATCAGGAACCAAAGTGCACAACCTTTGACAAAGTATTCAACTTTCTGAGTGTCAACTTCCTCATCTGTAGAGGAGGGGAAAATAAAACCAATCTTTCGAGGTATTGTGTTGGTGCATTGGGCATGGAGTAAATGTTTGCTGAATGGATGACTGAATGCCACTTGTCCTCTACTCTCTGGCTACCCAACAATTTCCTTAAGGGCTGACACCAGGTACTTTTCCAACCTTGGGTCACCTCTGTGTCACTTGAACTTCTGTTTCCTTCTGCACATCTTGGCTCCTGCTTTTTGCCCTCTTTGCTAAGCCTTAAGTGCTCCAGACTATCCTGTCTCCTTTTCCCACTATGGCTCTGCCCGTCCCATCCAGCCAGGAAATATAGGCGCACGGTTCCTTTGTCCTTGAGCTTTGTCAGGGGCCCCTAAGTTTTGCTTCTTAAGTCTTTGCTTCCACACCAAACTTCCAATCCCAGAGGGCTTTAAGAGCATGTGAGAATTTAGCCTCATGGACATGGATGTGGGATTCTGAGAGAGCTTCTGGGTGGAGGTGACACCCAAGCTGAGGCCTAGACGGGGAACAGGAGTTAGCCAAGCAAGGAAAGAGCAGGCACACAAATGGTGCTACCTGGGAGGAGGGGACAGGAATGCAAAGGCTCAAAATGCTGGGGATACTTGGGGTTTTAGTTTCTAGACCAAAGCCACGCCACATCAAGTTAGCATGGACTATTGGTGTCAGCCTTAGCATCCTTGGACTAATTAAAATGAAAGAATAAGCCAGGCCTGGTGGCACACGCCTGTGATCCAGCACTCGGGAGGCTGAGGCAGGAGGATCGCCATGAGTTTGAGGCCAGCCTGGACCACACAGAGAGTTCAAGGCCAACCTGAACTACATGGTGAGACCCTGTACTCCCAAAAATCCTAAAAAAAAAAAAATGTCATAAATAAATTAACCTGCTCTTAGAAGTTTAACATTAACATATTTTTCCTACCCAATTTCATGACTTCTACATTTTATTTCTATCATTAACTAGACTGTTGGCCCCTTCCTTAGGAATGATAAAGGGCCTCACAGGTTTTCCATGTCTCCCTGTATGGTTTAGATAAAAAGCGTTCCCCAAAAGTCTCATGTATTCAGAGGTGGGGCTTTTGGAGGGTGTTTGGATCATGGGGTGCTGCGCTCATCAGAGATTAATCTATTGAGTTCAGAGCTGAATGCATTGTTCGGTGGGGCCTGGTTGGAGGAGGTACATTGCAGAGGGCATGACCTGGAAGGGGTTGTCCCCAACCCCTTCCTCTCTCTAAGACTGTCTTTACAATCTTTTCTGCTCCACACTTGCCATGAGGTGAGCTACTTTCATCTGCCATGCCCTTTCACCATGTTGTTTCTGCCTTGGAGTCAGCTGACCATGGACTGACACCACTGGAACTGTGAGCCAGAATACATACTAGATTGACTTTCTTGGGAATTTGGTCACAGCAGTGAAAATCTGACTAATACACTCCCCTTCTTCATTTTCATGCCCTTCTCTTGATTTTTTGTCTCAACTTTTAGTGTGTAATTGTTTCTGTGATATGCTACATCATAGTGTTACAGTTCAGGTATGAGCCTCAGTTTACTCATCTAAAAATAGAGGGAATACAGTGCCCTCATGGGGCTGTTAGGAGGAGTCAGTGACCTAATCTACTGGTTCTGAAAGTGTGATTCCCTGAGCAGCAGCAGCAGCACCACAAGGAAGTTTTGTTAGTAAGGCAAATTATCAGGCCCCACCCCAGATGCACTGAATCAGAAACTCTAGAGATGGTGCAGCCTTTGAGCCTTTCCAAGCCTCCCAGGTGTTTGTGCTGCAGGCTTCAGTTTGGGAATCACTGATTTAATGATGCTAAAGCACCTAG